ATAATAACAATTGTCCCTATCTAGACTCTTTGTCAGTATGATCCGAGACAAATATGACACTGGAATATGGCAAATGGATCTGCAAGCATGGCAGATTCCATGAGCTTTAATTTGATAAGAATTAGTCAAGGATTCTGATTATTAGGGCTGACTGCCAATCAAGGGTTCTCTGTGCCGATTTTGGACAGACAGTCAAATGGAATACGAACCATGGCAGACTGTCGGGATAGCAGTTCCAGACTAAATGCAGTCAAGAAGGCAGGTCCGGATTGTGTGAGATTTCCACGCCAACACGAGAGGACAAATAAACGAATTTGTCTGCGGTCCAATTGAGCGGTTTGTTTACTTTACATTATCGATGATTGTTTATTTACCGCAATAACACGCAGACGTAAAACTTTTCTGCCTTGTTTCAACTGTCAAATCAAAAACCAGAGGGGGGGGGGTTAATGCTTATTGATGGGGGGGGGGAGGGTTCAGTGCTGTGGATGGCCACAGCCAACATACAACGGTGATATAATGTGTGAGCCTCTCGTGGAATGCTGGAGCGAACCTCTGTTGACATGACCTTGTTTTAAACAGGTAGAATGGCCATTCCTGCTTCGAGTAAGAAAATACGTTCGACCTTGGCTAATAGTGATACTTTAGCGCCGAAGTAGAATGTTGGGGAGGAATACAAACAAAAGTCCTTTGAGCCTCAGCTCTCAATGTGCTCCCTGGCTTTATGCTTAACTCCGACGATAGAAAAGAGCGTGTTTTGAAAGGATGACTAGACCTTTTTTCCAAATAAACAGGTAAACAATGCCAAACAGACCACACACACGCACACACACATTCCACATATAAAAGAATGAAGAATAAAATGGATAAAATGAAAAAAATAAATTCCCCGCAAAGAGGAGGAGGAGAATTAGTGTTCCCCCAACACACACAACATCTATTGGTCCAATGGAGAACTTGTGTATACATTCGAATTGGGTTTTGTCGGCTTGTGATTGGCCGGTGAAGATCGAAACAATAACTCTTATGGTCAAATATGATGTGGAACAAATGTGTTGATGACGTGTATCAATATGGTACTTCCAATTAGGGCATTCTCCCTATCAATACATTATCGATTTCACCTGCATGTAGACAACCAAGACTTACTGCTGGTAGCTTTTAAAATGTCCTTTCAAATCACAGATCGGAGAGATAAATATGCGATAACTAGTGCTTATGAATTGATTAATGAAATATGCTTAATTGAAGAGCCACAACAACCCACTATTAGCAGCAGGAGGAGGGGAAGGAGGAGGGGGTGGGGGTGGGGGGTGGGGGGGGGGGG